ATCTCATCTCGGGTGGGTGAAGATGACGATGGTGGTTTTTGTTGATTCTGGGTTGCGATTGTTTTGATTTTTTAGATTTTTTGTGGAGTTCGATAGATCTGATTAGTGATTCCTTTCTTTTCCTTCGTTTGTATATGTGAAAATTGCTGTTTTTTTGTTTATAATTTACTTTTTAAGTGTTTGGTGATGGAAATTGGGTATTTTTTGTAGAGTTGGTTGTTTGAAGGATGGAAGATTGAAAATTTACTGGATCTGGTTAATTCTCTTCCTAGAATTAATTTTTATTTTCACCTCTAAGATATGAATTTGTGAGTTTGTTTGGTTTTGCTATTTTTTTGAGGTGTGGGGGAAAAATATTTTTCTTGGGGGTACTGAATTGATTTTGTTGATTTTTTGAAGTTGGGAAGGGAGCTGATATATTGGCTGACTTCACTTCTCTTTGGTGATGGTGGTTTCTGTTCATTTGCGTTAGATTTTGCTTGGTTTTTGTTGTTTTATGATATGACGTGTCTGAGTAATAATTCTCCTTTTCTCCCTTGAAAATGTCATATTTTTATTGTCTTCTTAGTTTGCTTGCCGAAAGATTTGCTTTTTTCCGTTCACAATTAGGTCTTCTGTGTGAGTGGTCGCGAAGATTGTGAAATTGGGAATTAGTTGAATCTAGGGAACTCTTCAATGAATTTGCTTTTCTCCGCCTTACTTTGTTTTACTTTTCTTTTTTGATGCGTTGAACTTGAGGGATGGAGAAATAAGGGAATTTGTTGAGGGAAAAGATGTACCAAACGTTTGTATTTTCCCTTCATCTTCCCATAATATAATGGATAGAGGTTTTTTATAGGGTATGTGTCTCTTCACCATTTGTGTTATAGGGTCCTTGATCTTTTAAGATCTGTTGAGATGTGAGATTTTGGCAGGGGAACCATGTGAAAATTGTAAATCTAGACCATAAATTTTTTGGGGGGGTTGCCCGGGTGGGGTGGGGGGAGCAAAATCAATTTAAATAAAATTAAATTGCCTACGTGCATGATGATCTGAGGTTTTTGGTATTCCTCTTACAGGTTCTGTGCGAAAATTATTTCTCTTGGGATCAAAGATATATTTGTATCGGGGTAGAATACAAAAACAGTTTTTCAGGTATTTTTTAATGTATTTTCTTGAGTTTTCCCCCCTTATCTGTTCAAAAATTTCTCCTTTGCAGCCCAAAAGAACCTTAAAACAAAAAAAAGGACTTAAATAGAGGGGATGCCAAGAGACTGGAAGAATAGGATTGATGTCATTTACCGCGCTTAGTGCTTAGGGACTTGAGTTTTTATATAGATCTGGTTTCCTATGTTTGTTTGATTGGCTTCAGCGAAAGGAAACAGCTAAAAATGTTTTCAAGTTGCTTTCCTTTTTATTTATATATATGAAGGTAGCGTTTGAAGTGCTGTGTGATTTGGGTTTCATATGAATCTGATGTCTCTTTCATTGTTCAAGGGGGAAAAAGGGGAAGAAATCATTGATTTGTCGTGATTTGGGTTTTCTTCACATGCATATATTTGAGTGAACTAAATTTCTGCCGTCTTTATATGAGTACCTCACATGTCTATTTTATATCCTTGAGGTCCTGGAATGAGAGACAAATCAAGGCAACCTTTGCAAGAAATTTGCTGGTTTTTCTGCCAAATTGCACTGTTTCCTTTTTATTGATAGAGTTCTTCTTCTTCGTCTTCTTTTCTACAGATGCTTTCACTGTGAAGAAAAGTTTCAGATAGTTGGGTGTTCTCAAATAAATAGAAGACAAGCAAGTTGTTTTTCTTTCTTAAATTAGTTTTTCTCTAATGTTACTAGAGTACAGTATTTGTTGAGAAGGCCCAGAAGGACTGGGCCTTTTACTTCCGCAGGCAAACACCTCCAAATCCTATTTACAGGTTCTGTTATTTTTGTGGTTTGGTTGTTTTGATTTCTTAGATTTATCCATTTTCTTCTCTGTTTTCTTCTACTCTTTAGTTTGATGGCGATTAAAGTTATTAATAATTGGGTCTTTTTGTTTCATGGTGCTTGTTTCTTTGCTTAAAAATGCATTTTAGTTATTCAGAGTTTGCTTTCTACATAGTTAAAATGTGGCAGCTTGTTATTCCAACCAAGAGTATTGAGTTTGGTCCAAGTAAGGCAGTTAATTGTATTTCGACCTATTCAAATACCCCTGAGAACATGTAATTTCTTTATGCAACTGGAGCAATCCATTAATGACTTTAATACATTTATATTTCATTATGTACGGGCTGATATTTATAACTGTCTTTACTCGCATAGTCCTCTTGCTGTTTGCTAGTTGTGTTTGTTTTTTTTTTCTTGCTAATGGCATACAATTAGTTCCACTTGAACATTTCAATACCTGGATATTCAGAGAGTTCCTATGATATATGTTTGTTCTTGAGTTAATTCTTATGGACATGGCGTGCTTTATGGGATGATCTGCATTTGAATTTGATTTTTCAATTTTGTTTCAGTAATCCCATTATCTTCCTATAAATACTATTGGCGCATGGTTGAAATATCTTAAATAGCTTGCTTGTGCTAAATGATATTTGTAAATATAGCTTTCTCCTCAGTATCTGGATAACCTATGTTCTTCCGGTTATTTTATCCTTGTAACATTCAATACTGAAGTAACTTTTACCTTGTTCTTCTTTTTAATATTTTCTTATGGATTTCATTTTGCTGTGTGAATACCCAAATAGTCTCAATTGCCTTTTGTTTTTCTATATGTAACATTGTTTTCTTGATTATATTTTTCTGAATTCTGAATTGATTATATCTTAGACTTGCATATCGTGACTGTCAAACAATTTTTTTTTTCTGTTTTCAGATAACGTTCCTTGCACATCCTTGCCTATGGGTGATAGGTTTGCAGACCACAATGACAATGAACGGACTACTATCCAAAACTCCGAGGTAGTGTGACATAAATCTAGCAGTTTCCTATAATTTGTTCATAGTTTCTTTAAGTGAGTCAACGAGCATATCCATTTATTTGCCCTCTATTTCTCCTTTTTTGTCCATTCAGGGCCTTTGTCCAGGAAGAATTGGACCCCTTTCTAAAGAATTTTCATGGTTAGGTTCATCATGGGATTGCAAGAAGAAACGAAAGCATTATCAATCCTTTCGCCGGAATGGAATCACAATCTCTGTGAGTACTAGTAGTCTTTTCTGCTGAATTCTAATTTAGTCTATTTTAAGTTTAGCTAATCATGTGCTATTTGTCACTAGGTCCATAGCTTTGTCTACGTAATGGCTGAAGAATACAAGAGGCTTGTTGCATATGTGGAAGATCTATATGAAGACATGCAGGCTAATAAAATGGTTGTGGTGCGATGGTTTCACAAAGTTGATGAGGTTGATGATATTGTTTTGCCTCTTGACATTAATGACAGAGAGATCTTCTTTTCTCTTTCTCTTCAAGAACTCAGCGTCGAGTGCATAGATGGATTGGCTGCTGTTCTCAGTGCCCAAGACTTCGACAAGTTTCAGAAAGAGGAAAGGAACAAACTTGGCTTGCATCAACCATATTTATGCCGAAGACAGTTTGACAATGATGAGGTTAAGCCTTTTGACATTAAACAGGTTAAAGGTTACTGGGGTCAAGATGTGCTTAGGTACCTGTATGCAACTCCAAGTACTTCCCTGAAGCTGCGATTGAAAATAACTCATCACGGTCGTGGCTGTCAGAGTAGTCCTAATGTGGATGGGAGCGGTGGACCAAAGGAAAGAAGCCTATTGAATGATGCTGATATTGACGCTCGAGGAGCAGTTAGTGCTGTAACCAAGTCCAGAGGGGAAAAACATGCAAATAATCCTTCAGGGCCCCGATTGCTAAGAAAAGAGTTACTCAAGCAGAATCTTTCGCAACAGAAAAAACATCTAGCTCCGGGGAGCCATGTCGAAGTGCTCTCTCAAGATAGTGGCATTAGAGGTTGTTGGTTCCGTTGTGTGGTTCTCAAGAGACATCATGACAAGGTGAAAGTTCGCTATGAGGATGTCCAAGATGCTGATGGCACTAGAAACTTGGAGGTAAATACGAAACACTGTTTGCTGGATTACCCAAGCCCATATGGACCATACTATTACTGAACAACCAATCGACAACCACCTAACAACACCAGGTCATAGCCCACCCCCTCTAGCAACCCCTAACAAAGATTTGGATATAAGGTACGAGAAGGGCTGGGGTCATGTGCGTGGCCATGTACTTGGATGCACTCCTACCTAAGCTCTCTGAATCACCCTTATGCTGCTTTAATTTTTTTGGTAAATTGCGAGATACCCCCTTCATCTATATGTTGTTTTTTTAAAGAAATCCCATCATTTAAAAAGGTCAACAAATTACGCCTGATTTATTGCTGTTAATGGAACTGTTAATTATGCATGGAGTTTCTGTTCTTCAAACTTCTGCATGACGCATGGAAGGATGTTTACACATAAAATTCTCCGTGAATAAGCTAATTTAGGATAAAATAAAAGTCTACCTTTTTATTATTAACCTGGAATTCTGCATGCCGTTTCTAGACATGGGAAGAACCAAAGTCTACTATGAAACCTAAAAATTTAATTAATGATTTCAGATGATGGTTATTTTTGTTGAACTTTTTATATAAAGGGTGCCTTAAAAAACATGGACCAGATGGAGGATGTTTCTTGTAGTTTATCCTTTTTTGAGCCTGTACGGGTCTATGAGTACCCCTTATTCCTCAGGCATGTTGTCCTCCAATATACACTGGTAAATTTTCAAAGATAAATTTCATGCCATCCGTTACAGATGCTAATAATCAAACTTAAAACCTCTCGGAAGAGTAATGTCTTGATCATCTCACCTCCATACCCGATACAGGTTGCTATTGAATCGTCATATGATCTTGATTCTTGGACTACTGTGTAAGAAAGCTTTAGATTAGGCTCTTTTATCTGCTTGTGTCAAATACGCTGCACCTACGACCACTTAGACATGCCTGTGGTAAAACGTTGCATTTCCCTCACAGCACACTCTGAAATTAAGAAAGGGTAAAAATTGTCGTGTCCTTAAGTTGTAGATTTCACAATGTTGCTAAACACGCCTATTTCTCTAGGCATATGATGGTTTTCAAATGCTTGTACCGTATGTATGCCATGTCTGACATTGCTTAGAAACTCTTCTCTAGGAATGGGTTTTGGCATCGCGGGTTGCATCTTCTGACAAATTGGGCATATGGTCATGTGCGAGGCAGGTGGTCCGTCCTTACCCCTCGCATAGCAGCAACATTTCAAGCAGCCTTGATGTTGGATCTATTGTAGATGCATGGTGGCATGATGGCTGGTGGGAGGGAATTGTAATCCACAAGGAGTTAGAAGGAAAACTTCGTATTTATTTTCCAGGTATTTACATACCTTTGCTTTGGAAACTCTTTAAAATTGTACTTCTCTACATACATGAGTAGGACGAATGGATTAGATATGGTGCTTCTCATATCCATATTGGCTTACTAATCAGAGGATAATCCGTAATCCATTCCATCAAAATGAATATGGATAAAGATTGGGTATTAGGAGAAACACATGCTTATGCAAAAGTGGATATGAGGAAAAAGATTAGACTGAAAATTAATAGGCTACATGGTAGAAGAACTTTGTAAATAAACAAAAATTTTCCAGATTAAAGTTCATCGACATGTTCAACATATCTAAAAAGTTAAGATTGTTTCTCTGGATTACCAAAGTTGATCTCATATCTGCTAAACTAAGATCAAAATAAATTCCAACCAACTTAGGGATACATCATACATGTGTGGAGATGGTTACTTGTAAAAGTATCCTACCAAAAGTTAAAAGTATCCTACCAAAAGTTAAAAGGATACCTATCTGTATCCTATCTTACCAGAATATATATATTTAACACTTGTGCTGGGATGTGGTATCCTAGGGGATATGGAAGCATATATATACACACATGCATATCCTTCTGCTTTCTATATGCAAGGCACTTTCAGTTTTTGCTAATTTAGATGCATGTTGCAGGAGAGCAGCGAGATTCTGTATTCAGCTTGGGTGACTTGAGACCCTCTGAGGAATGGGTCAGTGACAAGTGGAATCACATCAAGGACCGCCAAGACGTTGCAAGCTCATTATCATCAACCATAGATCATGAGAATCGTCTCAGATTACCCAGTGACAAAGCCCCAGTCCAAGCATCAGAGACGGAGGCAAACACTTACCTATCTTGTTCAGAACAGCCACCAGAAGTAGACGAAGGTGGAGCTTCCATCCCAAACCTATCCAAAATCTGCTACCTGGATGGCTTGAAATGGAGTTCATCAAGAAAGAGAAGGCGTGGTAGAGAGTTGAGTGAAGGGATTTCAAAGGATAAAAGGCAACGGAGTAGTGGTAGCAGCAGCATCAGCAGCAGTAGTCAAGAGGATGTAGAAGTAGCAGCATCTAATGCCTGCAGCAACCTTTTGCTACCAAAAACTTTATCTGTTGTTGATAATGATAATTGCAAGATTGGGGGAAGCGATCCAATGCTCGTTGCACCCATGGCTCTGTGTTCTAACTTGGTCATGTCTCAATGACCCTTACCATATTTAGTGTTGTACATCTGAAATCTTCGTAGTAGTAATCATCAGTTTTGATAATTGTGCTGTAGCATCCTGTAGGTGGATGCGGTTTTCTTTGCATCCCCATGTTTTTGTTTCCTTTTAGGTGTTGTAGAACTTTAGATCCCGTGTGACTCTAGTTTAGCTTCTTAACTTTGTGTTTGTAGGAAGAATGATGTATAATGTTGTAGTTATGTATTTTAGAGCGAACTTCATGTGTGTGAATGCAACAGCTAATTGAGGAAAGAGGAGTTGAGTAGAATATACAATGGTTCCAGTTGCTCGAACTGATTGTAACTACATTGTTGGCCTGGTTTCACAACAGGATAAAAAATGCATTGTAATTGTGCGCGTTTGTCTTTACGAAATAAAAATATATTTCATGATATATGATTTATGGTTTTCTGTGGACACAAGGACTCTTTGATCTTCCTGTCCAGGTATTTTATTAGTTTGATTAATAGTCTGCCTGATTTTCTGAACTACTATTCATATCATGGTTCATTAGGTCTCCTCTCTTGCTTAAAGTTTCTGAGGGTTTGAACCTAGCCTAACCTTTGGCTTGGATTTTCTGAGGTTAAGAATGTAAGATTTTATACGACTTAGAACAAGCCACAAATAAAAATTTGAACTGCTTTTGACATAACGGCCAGAACCAAAACCAAGGAAAGAGGGGAAAAGAGAGGCAGCTATTATTGAAAAACTACAATTAAAATCCTTTCTCTACAAACTTCTGTAGGATCAGATTCTCCAGCACAAAACTCTCAAAAAGAGTTGGAAGAGGAATCCCTACACTTTCCCCACCACCTCATGATTCCCTTCATCTCCCCAAAACTTATTCCATTCTCAACTTTATGCTCCTTTTTCTCTTTTCAAACTCCTGAATGCATCGTTGCCCTTCGAACTTGGCTCACCCATTCATGACGGAAAAGGCAAGTTCAGGCTCATGAAGCACTTCACTCCCATTTTTTATCTCCAAAGCTAATAACTTTCAGATCTCTCCTCTCATCTCTGTAGTTCTACTGCATGACCATGAGGATGAACATCGACTGCGGCGGTTGCTATCGCAAAATCCGGCGAGCCCTTCTTAGGATGCACGGTAACATATGTATCCTTGAGCTAAACAAATTTTAGTCTTTAGTGACTTGGAGAAAAACAATGCTATCGAGGGCACGATAGAAAGCCATATAGGAAGATACGAGATGAAGACATCTGATTTATCAGGAATATCGATGCACACATTATATGTGACTATGATTACAGTCAAACTAGTGTATTCACTAACTGATATATTGATGCGTTCATTAGTATTTTTTGTGTCAAGTCAGTTATCTTCATCCCCTGCATCTTTCTATATGATTCTCTATAGAGGGCCTTCCGTTGGATTTTTTCTGAGACTTCAGATGTATTTGATTAGGAATAGTTGAAATCACCTAGAATACCTGTTTTATCTATAAAGCTACAAATCCACCCGTAGCTCCAACCACTCCGAATTAAGCTCGTCCTCTCAAACGTTCTCGTTTACTATTTCGTTGCTTGTTTTTGTTCTCAGAACTGGAGAGTCATTTGATTGAAAAGAAGCAGAACAGGGTAAGCGTTTGCGGAGCATTCAGCCCCCAAGATGTTGCGATAAAGATACGAAAGATGACGAACAGACGCGTAGAAATCCTGGAGATCAAGGAATTAGAACTGAGCGGTGGTGCTGAAGAGAACAAAGATAACCAAAGCAGTAATACGCAGCAGAGCAACGGTGCGAACAACAGTTAGAGGTCTTCGCTGCCTTGTAATTGTCACACCACTAACAAATTACAAGCTTTGAAAATACTTGTGTGTTCTTTTTTGCATGTTGTAACATACACCGAGTGAAGTGACAAAAAGAGATCAAAGGTAGTGCTAACATCTTTTGCTTGTAACTCTATTTTAATCTCGGGTAAATTTCACAACTTTCTCGTGATAACAAGTACAAATCACAAGCTCCTGACAGTTGGTATCAATTCCATACTTGCCTCCTCTATTCTCGTGATAACAACCAAAACCCATGTGTTAAATGAAAAACCAATAAAATTAATGACATATTAAGTGAGAATAGATTGTCGAAAAAGTTGTTTTCTTTCTCTTCTCCTTACCTGCTCTCAGTTTTACCCAGGAGTGAAAACTAGTTTGTGATCCGTGACAGCTTTGGTTACATTTTTTTTTATTTCCTATTATTTTTGTTAGAGAATCTCTTTTATCTTCCCTTGTCAGAAAAAGTTTTGAGATGATGTTCTTTTTTGTAACTTGAAAACCCCTACTCCCCACTCTGTTCCCAGAAGCTCGTCCAAATGCTTTGCATTTTCAAATTGGACAAATTTTCAAAACAGTCCCGTTTACAAAAAGATTCCCAAAAAACGACCCGTTTCAACAATATTCGTCAAAACCGATCTAGTTTCAACCGTCAGGCTAAAACTAGATCGGTTTTGACGGAAAAAAAAAAATGAAACTTCACGGGACTTGAAATCCCGTGAAGTTTAGCAGCCACTTAACTAAGCTGCTAAACTTCACGGGACTTCAAGTCCCGTGAAGTTTCATAGTTCAAAACAACTTCAGAGCTGAAACGAACTTCACGGGACTTGAAGTCTCGTGAAGTTTAGTAGCTTAATTAAATGGCTACTAAAATTCACGTGACTTCAAGTCCCGTGAAGTTTTTAAACTTCTTTTGTCAAGACCGACCCAATTTAAGCCCAATGGTTGAAACTAGGTCGGTTTTGACAAATATTGTTGAAACAAGTCGTTTTTTGGAAATATTTTTGAAAAATGGTCGGTTTTGAAAATTTGTCCTTTTCAAATTATGTTAGGCTGCGTTTGGGAATGTGGATTTGGGCCTAAGATTTAAAATCCAGAGTATTTCAAATACAAATCTTTAGTTTGGATTCTAAATTGGGCTAAGATTTCAAATCAAATTATTTTAGAGAGTTGGATTTGAAAGTCCAAATACACGTATTTTAAATTCCATACTTCCCCATCAAATCCCAACCTCTTCTCTCTCGTTTCCAAATCGCGACCACTTCTCTCTCGTTTCCAAGTCCCGATTTCTTCTCTCAACATAGGTAACCCCTCTCTCTCCTCTCTCTCCCCCTCTCTATCCTCCCCCCCTTTCTCCCCCTCTCCTCTTCCCCTATCATCAAAACCCTAGATCGGATCTAGGGTTTAGGTCTCCCCCTTTACTCTCTCTCTCTCTCTCCCCTTTTCGTCGAAACCTAGATCTGATCTACGGTTTAGATCGTGATCTTCGCGGTTAAAACCCTAGATCAGAGCTAACACTCTCGATTGTTTCTAAGTTTTTGATGATTTCATTATGAATGCATTAAGGTTTGGTGATTTTGATGGATTCTTAGCTAATTTGAACAAGGAGTGCTTGTCTCATCTCAAAGGTACAATTTTTTTTTATTTTATTGAGAATTTTGTTCTTTTTATTTTATTGTGATTTTAATTTACTTTTTGATTGTGGTGGCCAAACCCATTTTTAGTTTAACTACACTCGTGATTCATGCATCTGCAGGTGAATTTGTTCTGTGAACATCTACAATATCACATTAGATTCGACTTATGTCTTTGGAACGTCGTTTAATTTTAACACAATAGTAACTCTTTTATGTTGAGTCTATTTTGCTTTTGCAACAACTTTAATCATGGTAGATTTTTCGCAAACTCCAAAATTATAGGAAACACAGTTTTGCTCGATGGATTCCCACATAGGTCCTTAAACTAAAACTTGTAGTTTTTGTTTGAAAAGAAAACAGAATTACATATTAATTACAGTCCTTAGAACTCAAAGATTTTTTTGCTTACTTGAGATTACTTACAATTTTGTGACCATTTGTATCCTCTGACCTCATAATTTTTTCAAACATTTTTCAACTTCTGTTGTTGGAACATCGTTGGATTTGAGCACTACAATGACTTTCCTATGTTTTAACCCATTTTGTTTTTGCAATAGCTTTAATTATGAGAGACTTTCGTAAACTCTAAAGTTATAGGAAACTTAGTTTTACAAAGTGAATTAAAAAACAGGGCCTTAAATTAACAAATATGGTTTTATGTTTGTGTGTGGACCCGAATTCTCTCCAATGGTAATTGGAGAGGGTCCAATTATTCCATCTCTAACAAAAGTCGAGAATCTTTCTCTCTTAACACCATCAATAATAGAATTCTAATAATTTTTTGTTAGCAGCCACTAGTTCTTCATTGAGTAACATATCCACCTGTCTTCTGAGCACACATGCATTGTAGTATTGAGATTCAATTTTTTCTTTTAAGTCTATCATGTCATTAAGTGGCACAAAATCTCCATAGACAATGTTAGGATTCACCCCAATAATAAAGTCTCGAACGGAGACTTAATCACAAAATAAAGGCACAAAATTCAACACAGAGTACTCACAGATATACGTGGTTCACTCCTTCGGAGCTACTCCATGGTGCAACGACGACGCCAAATTCTTTTATATCCCAAAAGAATTGATCCAAGAGAACACCCTCTCTTGATCAGATACACTCCAAGAACTCTCACAAACTCTCTTTTTGTTTTCTCTTACTCTTCTATAAGAGGAGTTGATTCTGGGATGAGATTTTCTTAAGAGTTTAGGGCCCTATTTATAGTGTTTGAGAAAACACTATGCATAAATATAATATTATCTGTGGGACCCGCCACTAATAATAAAATATTTGTGGGACCCACATCCTTTATAAATTCTCAACAATGGCTGCCACCGAATTTGATTTTTCTTCTTATGGGGCCCGCCTTTGTGGGCCCCACTTTTGTTTTGTTAGGCTGACAATCTCCCACTTGAAGATTTGATTGAATATCAATCATATCTTCACATCATTCTTGGTTGCATCATCCGGATGTCTTGTATCTTTGGCGTCTTGCACGACCTTCAACATTCTCAACGGAGGCCATATGAGGCTGCACACAGCCTCACATTCTCGAGCGGAACTGGCTTGGTTAGCATATCGGCTGGATTGTACCTCGTATCAATCTTCACAAGCTTGAACTCGTTCCTGCTTTTCCATCTCCGTATGGCATGGTGCTTCACGTCAACATGCTTGGTCCGAGCATGGAATGCGTCGTTCTCTGACAAGTGAATGACACTCTGACTTGGATGAAATATTTCTCAAAGCTTACTCCAAGCTCGAGAAGAAAAGCCTTCAACCATAGCAACTCCTTTGCTGCCTCTGCTGCAGACACGTACTCGGCTTCGGTTGTCGACAAAGCCACAGTATCCTGTAACTTGGATCTCCAACTTATCGCTCCACCACCCAAGATGAAGATGTAGCCGCTCGTGCTCCTTCTTGAATCTATATCCCCTGCGTAGTCTGCATCACAAAAGCCCTCTAGCTGCAAATCTGCCCCGCCATACTCAAGACAACGGTCGGACGAGCTTCTCAAGTAGCGTAGAAGCCACTTGACCGCACCCCAGTGTTGTTTCCCTGGATTGCTCATAAAGCGGCTCACAACTCCCACTCCTTGTGTAATATCTGGCCTCGTGCACACCATCGCATACATCAAACTCCCGACGACAGATGCGTATGGTATGTTGGCCGCATACATCAAACTCCCGACGACAGATGCGTATGGTATGTTGGCCATGAACTCATGCTCTTCAGCAGTATCTGGTGCTTGGGTCTTCGATAGCTTGAAATGGCGAGCCCACCGGTTTAGCTTTCTCCATGCCAAACTTTTCAAGAATCTTCTCAATGTAGGCCTTCTGAGACAACCTCAGCCTCCGTACTGATCTGTCTCTGATGATCCTCATCCCCAGAATCTGGTTTGCTGGACCCAGATCCTTCATCTCGAAGCACTCGGAGAGACGCCCCTTGAGTTCCTCAATGCGGGCCGAGTCGGGCCCTGCAATCAACATGTCATCAACATAAATTAAGAGTATTATATAGGATTCGTCATATCTCTTGATGAAGCAGCAGTGGTTTGTGTCACATTTGAGAAAACCGTTCTCCTCTATAAAGTTTTCGAACTTCATGTACCACTGTCGCGGAGCTTGCTTCAGGCCATACAAGCTCTTGCGTAGGCGACACACGAGGCCCTCCCTGCCTCGTTCCTCGAAGCCCACTGGTTGATGCATATAGATTTCTTCCTCCAAATCTCCATGAAGGAATACCGTCTTCACATCCATCTGTTCTAGATGGAGATCTCGAACTGCCACAATGCTTAGAACAGTTCGGATCGTGGTCAACTTGACGACAAGAGCTAAAACGCCAGAATAGTCTATCCCTGCTTTTTGCTCATAGCCCTTCACTACAAGCCTCGCCTTGTAGCGTCTCCGTCCATCAGCTTCATCCTTGACCCGATAAATCCACCGATTGTGAAGAGCCTTTCTCCCTCTTGGAAGCTTTACGAGCTCCCAAGTCTCATTCTTCATCAAGGACTTCATTTCTTCCTCCATAGCAGACTCCCACTCGCCCCGAGCTTTGCCAGTCTGCTGTACCTCCTCATAGCTCTCTGGCTCACCATTGTCAGTCAGGAGAAGGTAATTCATGGTGGAAAGGTACCTCTCTGGCACCCTTGGATTTCTTGGAGCTTTGCGAATTGCGATCGGCAACTCTGCTGGATCCTGCTGCTGTGCATTCCGCATGTTCTCTTGGTCTCCGTCTTCTATGCTGATTGGTATCTCACCGCCGTCCTCACTGTCAGCAATATCTGGGAAAAGAGGGGGAGATAGCTGACTCCCACTCACCTCTTTGGTCTTGTACATCGCATTCTCATGGAATACGACGTCACGACTGCGCACCACCTTGCGCGCATCGTGATCCCAGAAACGGTACCCATACTCATCTCCTCCATAGCCGATGAAAGAGAGCTTCTTTGACTTTGGATCAAGCTTTGACCGGTCTGTAGGATTGGTCATGACATAGGCGTCATAACCAAATACTCGTAAGTGCTCTAGC